GATAGAGTTTAAGTCTGACTACCATCAGATTGCCATTAGACCAGAGGACCAACACAAAACCGCATTTCAAACCAGGTACAGTCTGTAGGAGTTTGTGGTGATGCCCTTTGGCCTTTGCAATGCGCCGAGTACATTCCAACATGCCATAAACAGGGTGTTCCATAACTACTTGGATAAGTTCATCGTCGTGTACCTCGACGATATTCTTATTTTCAGTAGGACTGTCAAGGAGCATGCCCAACTTGTAAAAACTACACTTTCACTCCTACGACAACCCAAGTACAAGATCAACTTAGAGAAATGTGAGTTCAGTCGCACTAGAATCTTGTATTTGGGTCATGAGATATCCGTAGAAAGGATAAGGCCCAAAGATGAGGTGGCTAGCATTCGTGACTGGCCACGACCCCAGTCTGTGACTGAGGTCCAATCATTCTTAGGGATGCGTGGCTACTACCGCAATTTTGTTAAGAATTATAGTACGATGGCCTCCCCTTTGACTGATCTAACACGCCTTGACACACTACGGGAATGGACAAACGCGGGTGAGGCTGCTTTCAAAAGATTGAAGTACGCCCTCACACACCATGAGATGGTTCCCGATCCGGAGAGGTCGTTAGTCGTGACCACTAGCGCAAGCCAATATGGCATTGGCGCAGTGCTGGCCCAATAGGAAGGGAAGAAGTTGAGGCCGATCGAGAACATGAGTAAGAAGATGTCATCTAAGAAGTTGGCGAAGTCCACGGGAACTCTATGCTCTTTGCAAGGCTCGAGTCCACTGGAGGCACTACATGTTGGGAAGGTTCTTTTATTTGAGAACTGATGATTAGACACTCTAGTGGATTAGGATGCAGCCTGTTCTCTCCGATGCACTCAAACGCTGGATTGAAACATAGATCAATATAATTTCAAACTAGACTACGGGAAGGGAGAGTACAACAAGGTTGCTTATGCGCTATCGCGCAGGGTAGACTACCTAGGTGCGCTGATTACTAAGTTTGGATTATCTGATGATGTAACTCGATGAGTGGTAGATGCCTACAAGGAAGATCCCCTCATGATGGGCATCATACATAAACTAGACACGAAAGACAAAGCGACATCTGACGAGTTTGTGATGGTGGATGGGTTACTTTTCCTTGAAAAGGCAGTGTTCAAAAGGTTGTGTGTTCCATCTAGGTGAATGCCATGATGTGAATGGGCACTTCGGGTACAGGAAGACTAACGCTAACCTAGTGCAGCGTTTCTAGTGACCTGGTATGCTTTTTTTTTTTTTTTTTTTTTTTTTTTTTTTTTTAATATTGCTCCAATCTATTCGTGCGGAGCATCACGTGCTGGGAACCGGGCCCAGCGTCCCTTATAATGGGAATACATTGATGATTGACAATTGATGATAATTTGGGATGATTGAGGATGACGATGTGAAGAAGTATGTTCCGACTTGTCAAGTCCGTCAGCGGGACAACGTGCGAACTCAAGCTCCGCTTGGGTTACTCAAGCCCTTGCCCATTCCGGCGGGTCCGGGACAAAGTGTTTCCATGGACTTGATGGACACTCCCGTGACCAGCAAGACGGGCAAGCAACATATCTTTGTTATGGTGGACAGGTTCACTAAGTATGCTAGACTAATTGCCATGCTAGAGACGCCCAAGATCGAACACGTCATCAAGTTACTTATGGATAACTGGGTGCGTGACTTTGGACTGCCTAAGACCATCGTCAGTGGTAGAGATGTCCGGTTCACAAGTGAAATGTAGAAGAAAGCCGCTGAACAAATGGGTAGTCAACTTCAAACGACTTCGGGGAATCATTCCCAAGCCAACGGCCAAGCGGAACTGATGAACCGTGTGGTGCAACATCTGCTGAGGCACTACATCAAGCCCAGCCAAGATGACTGGGATGAGAAACTTCCTCTCATCGCCAGTCTGTACAATAATGTTGTACATAGCACCATCGGCGTCAGTCCCAATCAGCTGCACTTGGGGTGGAAGCCTAGATATGCACTAGACTTCCTTCTTCCTGAAAACACCGACTGCAACTCCTGGAACCATAGGCTTTGGTATCCAGTATGAGAAATTGTTGCAGCAGGCTGTCGAGCACATCAGAAAATCTCAAGAGGCAATGATTGCCTCTGAGAACAAGCACCGACGACAGTCCACATTTCAGGTCGGGGAACATGTCTCGGTAAAGGCTAGTGAACTGGGACAGGAATTCGGTATCTCTAGAAAACTAATGCCACAATATTTTGGTCCTTGGGAAGTCCTAGACATTGTGGGTAGTGATCTGGATGGTCCCTGGTACGTCATAAGAATCCCTGGTCATCTGGGCACTTACCCTGTATTTCACGCTTCCAAGCTTGCACGTTTCACTGAGACAGACCTTTCCATCAAGAACGTCAATGCTGCCCCCAACCATAGATGGCCACGTGGACGTCGACGACATCTTGGAACATAGAGACTTGCCTGTTGGCAGGGGAAGACCGCCCAAACCTATGAGGGAGTACCAGGTCAGGTTCAGGCATCGTACGGATCCAAAAGAAGATCGTTGGTTCACAAGACAGGAGCTTGTCAAGACTGCACCTCAGATCGTGGCTGAGTACGAACGAAGACTGAAGGGGAAGGCACCTGCGTAGAAGCATCTCAGTGGACTTTGGAAGCTAAGGGAGATGGAATGCGAGGAATGAGCCCTCGCAGGGCCCTTATCAAACATACACGTGTTCTGGGCCGTGGCCTCCAGCAAGCCTTGTGCCCGCCCTAAGTGAAGGCGGGCCTGAATATCCACGTGAGGCCTGTTTTCGACATTTTTCCACATGCGGGGTAAATCAGACAATTGCAGCACGCCAGTTGGTTACAGAACAACTTGAGTCTCAGGCTCCTTCTAGAAGCAAGGGCTGCGCTGTGCAGTTGAGCCAGGGCACAGGCAGTTGTGCCCTGGGCATCTGCTTTGTGAGGCCGACACATCACGGACTGGCCACGGGCCAATGAGAAAGCAGCATTGCCGTTACACATGAGGCGCGAGCCAATGAGGAAGCTGCGAACACGTGGAGGCTGGGTGGCTGCCTGAACGTGCCTAACTGCACGAGGCCCAGGCCAGTATCTGAAACTGGGCCTGGGCGCAGACACTTGGGGGCCAGACTGAAGCTACAGGGCCGCCACACACCTGGCCAGGACAGCCAGCAGTGTGCTCATTTTCCATAAAGGAAGGTGTGAGCCCCTGGCGGAGGCATTCTGGCCTTGGCAGGCAATACGGACACGCTGCTGCGTTTGCTGTGCTAGTGTCTGCATGGGCGCTTCGGGTTGGACGCGTGCACGGCAGCCATAGCTGGGCTGCAGAGGTGCAGGCAGGTGATGGCGATGTCGGTCTTCGGGTAGGAGGCGCATGAGGTGGGGAGACGAAGGGTGATGAGGAGAGAGAGAGAACGTACCTGGTGTATGCTGGTGGCCGACATTGGTGTTGACGTCACGTACATTGGTCTTCGACTTTGGTGTGATCCAGTCGCATGAACGTAGATAGGATAGATAGGCTGAGTAGAGTAGGCTGGGCGCTGAGTGCCAGACAGTACGGGCGACATTGGATACAGTGTTGGTGTGACTAGAGAGTGTCGGCATTGGCACTCAAGTTCATTGTTTTGCTCTTATTCGGATGGTATCTTGGTGCATTTGTGCTCTCTGCTTGGTACATGACTATCTGGACTACTTCGTGATTTTGCAACTTGGTTTTCTGACTATCGCTCTCGCTCATATGCCTTGCAGTACTTGTAAGGCACAGCAGGAGTGCATCCAGGGTGATCAGAAAAGCGGTTAACAATTTTTACTTTTTATTTTTTAAATGCAAGCTGCCTTCTTCTCATACGGGGGACAGCTGTATTTTACTACTCTATACTCTTCCGAGTCTTCTCTCAATATTCTTTTATCTCACACTACCTACCCCGAGCTATGTACTTGGGTTTAGGCTCTTTAGGGTCATAGACTATCGAAGGGGGGGCCAACCATACTACCCCCTAAGTCTACCAGCTAAGAACTACCCTACATCAGACAGAGGACCAGCCTTAAATGTACTAACCAGGGCTAAGGATATGGGTCTATGTCTACCTAACTCTGCTCTGTGCGGGGAGCAGCACCCCAGCTCATAACGCCTGGCCCGGGCTGGAAAGACAGACTCAACTTCCACAACCAGCCAGGAGGGACAAGCCAACTTTCTCAGTCGGTGAACCTGAAGTATGCCACCCAGGGGATCGTGGGGAATTGAATGGATGCTGTTTTTCTTTTTTCCGGTCGTTATATTTTTCTCTCTCCCTGACAGGTGGAGGTGGCCCCAGTCGACAGTCCAACAGCTATATTTTTCTTCAACAGCCTCCCCCCCGCCCCCCTCTTAGGCGCGTATTTTCCTGCGCGGTACTTCGTTCACTTAGAGGTGGAGGTCGGCCTTCACATAATACGAGGACTCAAACCCTGGTCCACATTTCAGCAGTTTTTTATCCCCCCCAGTGTCTGCCCGCTGTGTTTGTTCTTGCGTTTGTTTTTTCAAGTTGAGTACACGCAGCCCCTTCGATAGGCAAAGAAAAACTCCGTCGTCCAGATCGCCACAGAATAAGGAGAGGCAAAAACAATTATGTGTCGACGTTCTAAGCGGCCCACGCTCCGTTAGAAATCGAGCTCTAGGACGATGGTGGCCACCCAGTACAAAATCTGAAGGCTGAGACAGAAAGAAAAGATAGAACTCGGCGCGGAGCGTACCCCTGCGGCCCACTAAGCCATAGAGTATTTGTGCTGATAACAGTGTTAGTATGTCACCACAATCACATTTGTTTAACTTTGTTCTTTATTAGCTTCTCAGAACTTACACCACAGTGACCACACTCGATTTTCACCAGAAGGGCCAAGAATGTCACAGTAATGACAATGGAAATTTGGAACTTCATGAGACTCAGCAGGCAATCACTGGCAGTGTGATTCAGAAAGGATGAAAAAGAAGGAAAGCTTCGATCTTGTTGCCTTCCATACCGCAGCAACGTGAAGATAGTATAGACCCTTTGCGGCATCAATCGCAATCTTTAATCGCTGCTGCCAGTCAATTGGAGGAACATCTGCAGCTGCATGATCCATTTCAGAATGCAGGGATTGTTCCATGGGGTGAGTATTCGCCACTCAAAAGTTTCAGCACTGTCAACAGCATTTTTCATCTTCGGTTTCCCTAAGCAGCATACTTAAATGAAACAGTTGCTTTTTAATGTTGATGGATGCTTCATGGTTGCAGAACTGTTTGGTGAGAGAAACACATCAAAAGACAGGTGAGTTGGCAGTCTTTTGATTTGTTTCTCTCACCGACAAAGACACATTTCAACCAAACAAGTGAGTCTTTTAATGTCAATTGTGGATGCCCGACTCACAAAGACATTCACTAACAGCCGCAGAAGCCGCAGATCAATGCAGACAAGACTCATGGTCAACCTACACTGTGAAGGCAAAACAATTGAGTATGTAACAAGTGCAACTGCCATGGGTACATGTCACCCAAACAAGTGGGTGTAGTGCAGCAATGCATCAAGGATTCAGGGTTATGGCAGGATGAAAGGGTGCCAAATGGATCCATATGCAAAAAGCAAAACTGCATAACCCTGCAAGTAAGGCAAAGAACGAGCACAAGGGTAAGCTCCTTTTGTTTTTGTTTGTTTGTTTGTTTTTACAAAGGGTGACAGCATTACGATATCATCGTGAAACTGACCATCTCTAGGTGATTCTAGAATTGTGTTCATCTGGTTCCATGTGGATTCAAACTTAGGTATGCGCGAGGATTGAGCCCTTGCAAAGATAGAGACAGTGAAGTGGTCCACTCGAACAACAACAAGGAATGCAGTCCTGAGAAGGACAAATTGAGGCTTTAGTCTCAGATTCATAGACACCTCTCCCAATTTCTTGTGCTTCAATGCCTATTTGACAGAACCAACAGGGGTTCTGAGAGGAAAACTACCGTCTTCACCCGAATATACACACCAAAGAAATGAAAGAAGCAATATTATACGCTTGCATAAACGCAGAGAGCGAGGGAGCAAATTTCCCAACACTAGTAGCTAACCTATCCCAAGCAGCCTCCTCAGCCTCTAGGAAAATAGCAGCCAAAAGAGAACAAAGGATAAAGGAATTGGAAACAGCAGTCAACCTAGTAGAAAGGAACCTCATAAATAGCCCAGGAGAAACAGCCTACGAGGAGTTTCTGGCAAGATCTAAAGCAGAATTAGCCAATTGGAGTGCTTGGAAGGCGAAAGGGCTACGCATGAGAGCTAGGATCCAAGAATGGGAAGGAGAAAAATGACTAAGTTTTTCTTCCAGAAAATCAAAGCAAGAGGAAGAAATGCAGCCATCCACCAGCTAAGAGGACAGGAAGGACTCACATCAAACCCGACGAAAATGTTATCTATAGCAGAATCATTCTACAAAGATTTGTATTCCTCTAAAGCGGAACAACCAACACCTAGGTCGGTACTCCAAGCAAGAGAGAAATTTACCAAACATCTGGATAAAACAATCCCCACCAACTTAGCTAACCATTTGGATAGACCCATAACCGACGAAGAAATTAAAAACGCCTTGGATTCGATGAAATCAGGGAAAACACCAGGGAAAGATGGCCTATCTAAAGAATTTTGGCAAACTTACTGGTCGTTGCTAGGACAAGAATTCTGCAAGTTTTTTAGAACATCCTGGACCAATGAAGGATTAGGTCCCTACCTAAGCACAGAAATAGTCACACTATTATACAAGAAAGGAGACCCAATGAACATTCAGAACTATAGACCAATTACTCTCCTAACGGTAGCCTACAAAATCCTAGCCAAACTCCTAGCGAACAAAATAAGAAACATAACCAAATCCTGCTTTCATATTGACCAAATAGGATTCATCCCGGGCCGATTCATATTAGACAATGTAATGACTCTAGCGGAATCAGTAAGATATATCAATGATAAGAAAATCAATGCAGCCATCCTCTTCTTTGATTTCGAAAAAACCCTTTAATTTCGAAAAAGCCTATTACCAGGTAAATTGGGATTTCCTACAACAATGCATGGAAAAAATGGGGGTAAGACCTATCTTTCGAAAATGGGTTAAGATTCTTTATAGAGACGCCCATGGAGCGGTACAAGTAAATGGCCACGTTGTCACGCACATCGGCTCCCGCCTTTTTCGCAAAGGCGAGAGCCCTCTCGACCATGTTACGCAGGAGTAAAACAAAAACAAGATTCATAAGACAACTTGGGAACGACGCAAAATAATCTCGCGAGCCGCCGAGACGGGCGTGGTCGTGTCGCTCATTCGCCGCTCTAGCCGGGTGCGCCAACTGTACATCCCGTGGTCCCCTACGACAGGATAGGTTCCCGCGTGGCATAAGCTTTCCTTTTCTAAGGAGTTGTCACCACCCTTCGGGGCGTATCCCTACCGAGTTACTGACCCACATGTGAAAGTTTTTAGATGCAATTGCGAAAGTAGATCAGTCGGGGGTGTTTGCTCGTTCGATGTAGTATAGATACGCTTGGTTAAACGTCGAGCAGACCCGAATGCCTTCCGTTCCTAGGGCGCTGATCTCCTAGGTGCGGAGCAAACGTCGGTCGACTAGGACGATCTCAAGACCTTCAACCAAGCGTGAAACCACAACTCAATCCTAGTCCCTTTAGATACTCTTCAAAAGAAAGTTATAACAACCACACATAGTTACAAAAAAGAGTCGATCGTAGTCGACAGGAATATATATCCAGTCTGAAAGAATCCAAATCATCATATGGTACATCCACTAAACATAAGATCAAAATAAAATCCGACCACCCTGGGTCGAACTCCACAAAACAATCATACAACCGCCAACAAGAAGTTGGTTATTGTAGTCAGACTGCCTTAGTTTTGACTTGATGAGACGCGATGCCAAAGTCATTCATTCCACCTACTGCCGACTTAAGATTAGACACGCACACATTCATCTCCCTATGTTCCCAATCTTCTTGGATAACAGACTGCTTTGCGAATGATTCTCAAGCAGGTGCATTGCTTGAAGTGTTGCATGCCTCTCCCTCTAGCAAGTGGTCTGGGGTACTCCTCGCCCGAGCACAAAGCTCGGATCTCAAAAGTTGGGCCGTCTCCACCGAATCGGCAAGTAACCCCCCGTAGAACGGTCCACTCCGGGTCGATAACAAGGTCGGCTCCTGAAGCAACGAACCCCCGTCCCAAATGCTTCCTAGAGATAGAGGATGTGTTTACTACAAGTAGGTTTTAGATACTCTCATTTTTTTATAAATTCAGGGTAGCTTAGACGAAAAGGAATCGAAGGAGAGAGAAAATGAGAACCATTTGAACATGTATAGGTAGATAAGGTCATTCAGGATAAATGGGTAAGTCTCAGGAAAAGAACTAAGCCTAATTATCTCCATCTTCATTATATTGACAAAGTTTCTTTCACAGTACCCGTCGAAATCATTCTCCTCAAGAAACAAATGCTTTTAACATACATACATGCGAAGGTAGAAACACAACTATCTCTTTCCTCCTCTCAAATAAGCAAAATCAATATCCTTTGCGAGCATCCTTCTACCTACCTGCACAACATGCAAAGACAACAAGTTCAATAGAAAACCAGTGCAATCACATACTCAAGTCAAACTTCTCCATTCACATGCATGATTCGCACAACTTTACTCTACCTCTTCTTTCGAACATTCAAAACAAACAGGGTCAAGCAAAGTGCGGGTTCACATAGGTGTGAAGAGAAATTTGAGTCATTCTACTGACCTTGAGTGAAGCTTGGTCCGACTCACTCAAGAAAGTCGGGTAATATTTCAATCAGAAGAAAATAATCGCCGTAGAAAAATATGCAGCTCACAACTCCACAGGTTGTGGCCTTTCTCCTGAGCCACACTCCGTGTCTTCCACCAAGTGTCCGAATGAGCAGAGTCTGGACCACAAAAAGAATTGAAGCGAGATAACCCTCCAGGAGGGTGTTCTCACAATCGAGTTTCCACGTGGTCCCAATGTTCCAAACAATCCCAATGCACTTCACCAAAAAATTGTCCCCCCCAACCAATCGCAAGTCCACACCGCCTCCAATCTCACCCTGTCCGCTCGCAATAGCCACACCAACATGCCGGTCCTGATCACAACTAGTCCCACCTAGTCCCAAAATGGTCCCAGATGGTCCCAAGGCAGTCCCACACCATCGCCACAATACTAGGTGGTTTAAAACTGAAAACCGCTTGCACTGCGCGCCACAAAAAAAATAAAGGTGACCCTAGTCGAAAACCGCATGTGCCGCAAACCCCCAAAAAATAAAGACGCCCTTTCGGCGCAACCGCAAGCGTTGCAACTCCAATAGCCACTGCTGCGAGCACTCACCCGTGCCCTCTTCATGCCCTCGATCCACTCGCCATTACCGCACAGACCCAATCGTGCACCAACGTCAGCCCAACCTCCAGGTGTTACGGAGTCCGCCAGGGCTCGACCCCTGGTATATTTTGCTGTTTTTGCTACATTTTGTTTTTGGTCTGGCACCCTTTTTCCAAACCCCTCCTTTGGTACCGTCGGATTTTGGACAACTGGCGCCATGCTACAATTCGGGCGCCACTTTCAAATACCACATTTTTTAGTTCTGCCCTCGGGGTTTTGCAGAGATGCCCCTGGTACCGTACGTGTCACCGACACTTATACCGGTTCCCCGTACAGTACGGCAACCGGTCTCATACCAGTTTCAGCTGCTGTATTCGTACGCAGTGGGACTTGCTCCTGTTTTCGGCATTTGGAATCCAAGACTTCGACTTTGTGTCCTTGCCACTGTGTCTACGTCCGACCCTCAGTCGTGTCGAGTGAGTGAGTGTGTGTGTGTGCTCTCACTCTCTCCCTCTCTCTCCCCTCTCCCTCGGCTCTCCCTGTCTCCCTCAGCCTTGCGCTTGTTACACTAGGTCACAACATCTCCTCTCCAGCGGCATGCAGCAGCCAACCAACATTCACCAAAGTGAATGTCCCAGCAGCACTGCCAACAGTGTGAGGCTGCTGGTGGGATGCTGGCTTTATAGCCAGCTGAAGGCATGTGGGCAGCTGCTTTGCCCACAAC